TAATGGCGGCAAATGGAGAAAATTTACAAGTAAAATATAAATTTACAAAAGGATCAATATGTAATGATAATTATTGTATTAGACATAATTTCATAATTGTAAAAAATATAAATCATGATGTAATTATAGGAACACCATTTCTAATTCAAATATACCCATTCTTTGTAAGTAATGAAGGAATTTCAATAAATATAATGGGTAAAACAATTACATTTAGATTTTTAACTCCAGTAAAACAAAGAGAATTACAAACTTTACAGACATCTTCTATCTATAGAACAATAAATAGTATTACTAAAGTACAACAACAAATAAGATATATTAAAGAAGAAAAATCTTATTTAAAAATTGAAGAACAATTAAAAGAAAATAAAATGCAAAAAAGAATTTCAGAATTAGAAGAATTATTAAGAAAAGAAGTATGTGCAAATATTCCTAATGCTTTTTGGGATAGAAAACAACATATGGTAGAATTACCTTATGAAAAAGACTTTAATGAAAAGAATATTCCAACAAAAGCAAGACCTATACAAATGAATTCTGAATTACTAGAATTTTGTAAAAAAGAAATAAAAATATTAATTGATAAAAAATTAATAACACCTTCAAAATCACCTTGGAGTTGTGCAGCTTTTTATGTTATGAATTAAGCTGAAAAAGAAAGAGGAGTTCCAAGATTAGTAATAAATTATAAACCTTTAAATTTACAACTTTAATTTATATACGTTAGTGGTCAATACACTTCTAGTAATAAGTTACTATTACAAGTAAATTCTGAATTTACTTGTAGTAATACCCTCCAAATTAATCAAGAATGATCTTAAAAAAGTTTATCAACAAAATAATTATACAAATCAAAATTCCCTAATGATATTTCAGCACCTCATTTTCAACCTAGAAGTCTGACAAGAGAAAAAGAAGAATTAGTTAGATTTCATTCAGGAACATGGTCTGACCCTCAAAAGAATTATTCAACTATTAAGAAAGAAATTCTATCTATAGTTTTGTGCATATCAAAATTTCAAGATGATTTATATAACAAGAAATTTTTAATTAGAATAGACTGTAAATCTGCAAAAGAGATTTTACAAAAAGATGTTCAAAATATAGTTTCAAAACAAATATTTGCTAGATGGCAAGCTATTTTATCTGTATTTGATTTTGATATAGAATTCATTAAAGGAGAAAATAATTCTTTACCAGATTTTCTTACTAGAGAATTTCTTCAAGGATATGGATCCAGCAATGATGGCTCAAAGAAATGCTCGTGAATATACAAATTACTTGAGAAATCAAAGAGATTCAATACCCCTCAAAAATAAAGAAAAATCCATTCTATCCAGAGGATATGTTTATTTCATTCAGACTCCGAATGGAAGACAATTTATTCCAGCTTATCAAATTCCCAAATATGATGAAATACATGTTCGCAAAAGTCCCTATGCAACCATTACTCCAAAAGAAAGAGCCTTTATCATCCAAAGAGAAATTCAGAAAAACACAATTAGACTTCATATTCATCAAAGAGCAAGCAGAAGTGGAGATTTTCTTCACGACGAATTTATTCGACATTATCAAGAACAAAACAAACAATTAGCTGACCAACTTAAAGATGTTGTTTATTAATTTTGCAGGAAAATGGATTCAAAAGCAGGAAGTTCCAGGCCAAGGACTCCTCAAGATTATGAGATGAGTCTTACTCCTGTAACTCAAAATAGATTTCAACTCTTATCAGATTTCCCAGCATTGACTTATAGTCAAGCTGCTACTCCAATTGCTTCTCAAATTAGACCCATTCAACAATTAGCAAAATCCCCAGAAAAATCTCAAGGAAATACTTATTTCACAAAGCCATTTACCCAACATATTACTTTAACCAGATTCCAAGAAATACCCATATACTCTACTCTTCATCAAGTTACTCAAAGGATCTTTCCTCCAAAATGCTATTGGCAACCAGATGACCCTTCAAAAAATTTAGATTATTACGAATTAATCCTTACAGATACTCAATCTGTAGAGATTTACCCCATTCCAGATAAAAAGAATCCAAACATTATTAGTCATTCCAAGTGTATTATAAAGAAAGTTTGTTCTCCTAATGAATGGACTTCTCTTTATTCTAAAAAATCCTTTTTAGAGTATCTAACATGTTATTGGACAGAAGAACAAAGGCTCTGATTTGGATTTTTAGAGTATCTATTGAATAATATAGAGTATCTAAAAATCCTTTTTAGAGTATCAACAACAAATCAGCCAAAGGTTTACATTCATGCACATTTACAATATCATTCAATCAATAATCAATCTTCGAACTCAACTAAGTCGAGTGCGATAAAGTACACTCCCGACTTAGAAGGCGAGAGACCATTGATATACACATCACAATAAATCACTAGTAAAATTCATAACAAGCACATTTCTCACATAAATTCATTTAAAGAAACATAATCAATTAAGCATATACATTCGACAACACTCACCAATTATCCAAAAAAACTAATCTTGAGTCTCGAGTCGGTTTTTTGGTTCACAGCTACTTCCTGGACAAGTTAATAATTCTAATGTGAATATCCAATTTATATACAGCCACTCATCTTATACCAATTTAAGATTTAAATAACTAAAACCCAAGTTCCTAAGCTTATAAAACAAGGTTAATGCACACATATATCAAATTTTAAGATCTTATAAAACATTTGAGCTAAGATTAAATCATTTCATTCTAATCCTAATAATTAAAGCTGGTGGAACTTTTATTTCTTCCCTTTTTTATTTCTAATCCTAAACTAGACTCTAGTTTGCATACTATTCCTATTTGTTCCACTTCACTAGCCCTTCAGGTTTTAAGTTCTTTAAAGTATTCAAAACAAGGTCAAGATGGTATAAACTGTTATATATATATATATATATATATATCTATATGTATATATATGATTACAGCAAACTATCCTAGAATTTTTCGAAAACTTCATGGAAAATTCAACTCTTCACTGTTTCGGTCATCAAGCAAGATTTCCAGCAATATCAATTCAAGATGTTCAACAAAGCTCCATGGTCTACTTGTTTAAACACTAAACACTCAACATATTATTTGACCAGCCTAAACTATAGCAGATAACCCACCATTTCAGCAAGTAATTCCACCATGAACCTCAAAATAATTCTGTTATTTGCTAACTATAACTTTCAGCCATAAGACAGTTTAAAGATTCAGTTCTTTCTTCACATTTTCTTCAGTTTTAACTCCAACACAACATGCAAGGAATGATTAACTTATCACAGAGTATTTTAAGATGCAAGATAATATTTTCAACCAAAGATTCAAAGTTAATATTAAACAAAGCTTTGTTTCCCTTCCTCGGCCATATTAGAAAGGCTTTAGCAGCCAATAGCTTTTAAAACAAGAAAATTCTCCAATAATCTCTTCATTTTATACCCAATCTCACATGCATGTTCAGACCAAACTATTATGCAATATATATATTACACTTAACATAGAAATTCAATGCCAAAATTCATGAGGACTGCTAGAAACCTCTTCATTTCCCTCTCTCGGATGATGCTGGAAAATTCCAACAAGTTTTCTTCCTACGGTGTCAACCCAAAATTCCAACTTTATTCCAACTTTTCCCCAAGTTTCTTCAACTAAAAATCTTATAATACCTGAGATAACCATATTGCATGCATTTCTTACATTAGTTTCCATTTTACAATGATAACAGGCTGCAACTCAAGTTTTCAATCCAGTTCCAATTTTTCTTCTTTATCAGATTTCCCTTCGGTTAAAACTTATTATTCCTTGCTAAAAACTAACATGCAGCCCATATATTCAGTTATATTCAAGAAATAAAAGGGTGGTTACAAGATTCTTACCTTTTTTTTGTTAAGTTTTAATAGTGGCAGATTGCTTCTGCTCCTAGCTTCAGTTCCTCCTCACTATGGTAGCTGATATGTGAAGTTGTAAGTTAGCTTCCTCCTCTTATCACTCACTTAGTTCTCTTACTCACTCGATTGTGGTTGGAAGGAACCAGAAATGCTCCTTCACTCCCACTCTTTCTCACGGTTTCAGGTATGAAGAAGAAAGAAAGCTTCGTTCTCTGTTTTCTTTCATTAGTTTCCTCTCGGTTGATAATACCAAAGTAGCTAATCACTCCAACTCCCTCTTCAGTCGGTGGTTGATAGAACCAAAGTTTCTCCACTCGGCCTTGTTTCTAAGGTTCTGATACTAACTGGTCGCATGGTAGATTAGCTAGGATGAGAGGTTAGATAGGTCATTTGATATCCACTTATTTTCTTACTAAGGGCTGCAATTTTTATTAATTCACACATTAACTCCCAACCTTAATTGTATTTCCTTGATCTCGTAGATTCTCATACATTTGGTTTTAAAAAAAATTAGCTAGACATGTAACTTATTCAACAATAATATATTCAAATTACACAAATTACGGTGTGCATACTAGATGTTTATTTGATTCATATAATTTTTTGTAAAATTTAAATTTAAACACTTAATTAATCTATTAGTTGTTATATATAATACTTCTAATGGCAAAATGAAGGTAATACATGCAAAGCTTATACAAAATTTTTCTCGAGTTTTCACAAATTGTATCGTAGGTATAATTGCATATTCAGATATCCATATTCTCTTAGCATTTGATATCAACAATGCTTGGGACATTGTAAAATTGCATGACCGCAACCATGTCACTAATTCTGAGCACATTTATCATTCTCAAACCTGCAAATTTTTCAAATACATATTCATAAGGGTATGAAATATTATTAACAATTTAATATTTTGGTATTTGTAAAACTTACCAACAGTGTAGGTATTGAGCAAAATTCAAGTAGCAATTGACATACAATTTGCTTGCTCGAATAATATAAAGTGACGGTCCTGCACAATGTGCTATATTTATTGATAAACTATAAAAATTAAATAAAATAAAGTGAAAATAAATTGAATTACCTTTATAATTTCTCATACAAATACCACAGGCTAGCAAAACATTATTTTTTGTAACAGTTTGACGCAAGTGTTCACCATCATCAGTTGCAAATCTATCACAAAAAGTCAACTGAACTACTGTCAAACTTCATTTAGAGAATTTTGGTAAGCATAAATCAAAATTTGTAGAATACAAAATATTTTAAAGATATTGAATCTATTAACTAACCTTTTGTCAAGTGTGAACCAACAGATACAATTAAACCAATTACATCTGCAAAAGATCAAAAAGTATAATTAATACCAGTTCAAATATACAACTTAAATAGAAGTATGGTTAATTATGAATGAAATACCTATCAATTGCAAATCATTGTCCATGTGCTGTTCTGTATCTCTTAGTTTGACCAGATTAAACTTGAAACGGGGTATGGTTCCACAATCATCTAAAATATTCACTATCTTCATATCGTTTCCAAATGATAATTGGTACTGATGTGATGTAAGCTGATATTTAAGATCTGTCGGAATTACATATATATTTTGAAACCAGTATACCTTGCCTTCATGGAGATGATCTGTGAAAATGTTTATCATATTATTGACTCTTATAACTCCCTGCATGACAAATTTCTAATAGTTTTCAACAGATTAGTAAATATTTAATATTCAATATAATAAATAACATATGCTCTTAATTATTACCTGATCATCTACAAAAAGCATCTTGATACATCCCGAATATTGAAGCACTCCATATATGGCCATATTTATTAATCGAAACAATCTAATCTTTATATTCTATATATATCCGCAAGGATCTTGATAGAGTAAAGGTGTATATCAAATATCTGTAAATTATTATAATATAGCATGAAGGTTAATTATTTAAACACTGTAGTTGAGACAGCAAGTAACATAAATTCAAAGAAGTACAAACAAAATGTCAAAGTGTGAAGCATATATAGTACATATAATATGAAGTAAATATACTATTTTTTTAAACAAAGCGATGTCCACAATTTATCAAAGGGAGTCAAAAATCTCACGATATACAATATTTTTGTGTAATCCCATGGATCATTATCGCTATTAACATTGAGTATTTTCTATCCAACTGGCGAAGTAGCACGGGACAGAGCAACATAAAATTGACTATGTGAAAACACAGATTCAAGAAGGTAAACGCCAACATTTTTCAATGTTTGGCCTTGACTTTTGTTGATAGTCATTGCAAATGCCACTTTCAAAGGAAATTGTCTCCTTTTAATTGGAAAAGGAGTCCGTGCGCTTGCGGTGTTAAAGAGATCCGAGGTATGAGTACTAAATCTCTAATATTAGATCCTGTTATGACTTCTGCCTCGAGGACTTTATCCCCCATTCTGGTAATGACAAGTCGTGTTCATTGCAAAGACCTTCTGACTGATTGAGATTTCTCAAAAGAATTATAGGAGTTCCTTCTTTAAGTTCCAAAAAATGATTTGGAAGTCTAGGAAAATTCAAAGAGTGCAACATTTCAGGAGGATTCATATTTTCAACAATGTCACCTTCAGTATTGCAAAAAGTATCAGCCCTCATGTAGGTACGTGATTGTCCAATCATTCAACTTGTCAACATCACCATTTTTTTGGAGCCAAAATAGCACGTTCATTGAGGTAAGTGCTATTTTCCTATGAATTTCTCAAATTTGGATAGACAGAATCTATTAACCGCATCAAAGATTGATTGTCATTTTTTTATAAGAAATTGCGACGGCATCTGAATCCAATTTGATTCCCCAAATTCAGTAAGTTGCTGAAACCTTTCCTTCACCAATAGACAACAACCAATTTACAAAATCTGTCAATTGCTGACGCATATTTTCAGGATGACGTAAATTCATTACACGCATATTTATTTTAAGATGCAGTACTCTACAGTGATCCGAAATCGTTGATTTTTTTATTGTAGCTGATACTGTTGCTTCTCTCCTACCTTTAGAAACAATCGATAATGTTTGTTGAAAATCACCGCCCAAAACAATCAATTTTCCTCTGAAAATACGATCCTCAAAATCATTTTCACTCAATTTTAAGATATCCTTTAAAGTTCTATCCACCGCTTCAAATCCATGCTGATGTGTCATTGGAGTTTCGTCCCAAATTATCAAAGATGTCTCTCTAATTAATTTGGCTAAGTCAGAATTTTTATTGATTGAACAACTTGATGACTCATCCAAATTAATAGGAATTTTGAAACGTGAATGTGTTGTCCTTCCACTGGTAAGAGTATTGCAGCAATACCTGATGATGCAACTGAAAGAACAATTTTTCCCTACGATCTAACTCGAGCAATCAATGTTCTCCATAAATAAGTTTTACCCGTCCCACCACTTCCATACACAAAAAATAGTCCTTCGTGATTATGTGTGTATGATTCCATAATAAAATCATATGCTTTCAATTCATCCTCATTCAAACTTACATATAAATTATCAAATAATTGCTGCTCTGATGTAAAATCATAATCACACTCTTCTCTTATAAGTCTATTCATGAAAAACTCAGCATTTTCAAATGACAGCAATGGCATTGGTGAAAAATCTCATAAAGATCGACCATTTTTATTAAAATGAGTTCGAGTTCAACTAATCCCAAATTTTGTAACTCATCGTCATCAATGCGTATTTGAGAGTTTTCAATATCCCTTCTGATCTGATATTGCAAATCATCTGTTATACTTTTCCAGTGACGCTGCCATATATTAGAAGGGTTAGTTATCTCAGAATGCATAAGTATTGTACAATACATGGTTCGTAATTTTTTGGCAGATGCCCGTGTAGATGCTTCAGCTAAAGTTTCGTTCCACTCATTATTATCATCTAGAAGACCAAGTGCTACACATGTAGCTTTGAATGTTAGATGCACAACTCCATTAATAATTCTCAAATGTTCAAAACTTCGTGCACCACGAATTGTGTGCAGCAACATTCTCAAATAGTATCGCTCACCAGAATGAGGATGTGCATATGGTAGCTTTCCAATACACCTACCTTGCAATCTGGACTCCCATTGGCGTTTATTTTGGTTCCAAGTCCACTTACTCGGAAACTCCACAAATATCAAGTTTCTAGCTGAAACATCGCTCTGATTTATTTCAAACCATTTCGTCAGCATTGTGTCATGTATGTGATCACGATCAAGAACGTCATAAAGATGATTATCATCATTAAATATCACAAATTGATGATCAGGAAGATGATACTGCAATCAAATCACTGATGGATACTGTCTCTGCATTTTGAAATCAAATATCTTCCAACATGACTCAATTGGCGATAAATATCAACAATCTAAGTATTGTTTAATCTCATCAACGCTTCTGTAACGACGATGACCATTTTCATTTGCAAGTACAACGTTATTCTCAATTTGAACATTTGCTCTATCAACCCCCTTACTCATGTACTTGTACAGATATTTAGTGATTTCTGGACGTGCAACTTTGGTGACATTGATATGACCATCAAACATCACAATCAAATCTCGATTGTAAGAAACAACCCATCTGTTGTCAAATGTAAAACCATTAAAGTTACCCTCTTACTTGGATCATCTCTATGTCTGTATGATACAAATCCATCTTCATCAATAGTGGTTTCACTACAAAATTTTTTTGGATAGTGTTTAGAGCACTTTCCATTCACCATACACGGAGCATTTGGATAAGTATCACCACATGGTCCGTGTAACATACCCTTGATGACCGTATCATAAGCTAGTGTGTCAATATTTTTATCAGGTATTTCAGCACAAATGATATCATCAATTTGTTCTGGAGTAAGGGGTTTATCATCCGGAGCTAATGTTAAAGTGATATGAGTATATGGTAAACCACGTTTTTGAAATTCAATGACAGAGATGTCTGCACATTATGGAAGTAATCTTAGTGTATAGCAGAATATAGGGATTGGAAGAAAGAAATTAATGATTTAAATAAAGTAAAATTTGTACCTGCAAGCACTTTTCCAAATAGTTGGATATTTTTAAAACATCCATCAATTTCTTTTGTCTTATCCGAAAAACTCGAGCCGTAATATCGGGTTTGTCCTCAACTTTCTGTCCCGATATTCTTGTCAACTCTTGTTTAATTTCTGGCCAATTGGGATTGCAAGTAAATGTAATGAAAAGATCTGAATTTCCAATTGTCCTACAAATTGTCATCGCATTCTGAAAATGTTGTACCATATTTTGAGATCCACCCGAAAATGAAGATGGTAGAACAAATCTCCTTCCAACTAATGATGCATCTGTATCTCCAGCAAGTACAGCATCTTCTAAACCTTGATATACATTAGCATGTAATATAGATTGATGGGTTTTCATAAAATTTAGGGTAAAATACAAGAAACCCCCTTGTGGTTTCGCGAAAAGACATCTTACTCCCCTATTATTTAAAAACCTCCACATAAACACCCTAACTTTCATAACTAAAGTGGAAATTACCTTTTGAACCGACTGAGTTACTGGCAGCAGATCAAATACTCTCGTCTAACCCGTGGCCTACTAAATTAGTAGGAATTGACAATCCAATGTATATCCAAAAATGTAAGCTTGAAAGCTTTGCCTTGGAACTTTGAATCAAATGCCAATGCAAGTATTAAACACACACACACTCACGGTGGCAATTGTTTTGCTCTTCTCAGTTCTCCCCTGCCCCCAACCCTACCCTTAACCCAGAAACGATAAAAGGAAACCCATTTTTTCTAGCTTCCCACCTCAAACATAACTCCACTGGATTACGATGGTATAATTCCCTTTCCCCTACTGCCGTTACTCGTCAACAGATTACCGACAGCCCTGACTGGAGCATTCATTCTAAACCTATGGAGCCATCTCAAGTTGTTGGCCATGGGAGCACTCGCCCATCTGGGAGTCTACAATCCACCCCCTGACCACCAATATCATTCTGCCGACGATTCCAACAATTACATCTTCATTTTTTATGAGGGCACCTGCCCATCCCTCGTCCGCATTCTCGTTCATGTCGTCGCCGCTGCCATCAAGACTAAAGTCCTGTACTCCAATTTCAAGATTTTCTGCTTTTACAAGAAGGGCGAGAGCCAGAAGCAGAGGAAGAAGCAGAATCATCAACCTCATCATCATCATCACCCTCATCCTCACCCTCACACGACTGGGACAGAAAAGGTGATGATAATATTTTTCCGCAGAAGATGTGCACCATCTGCTTTTCTTACCATCATTTCTTCGTGGAAACGAATAAGTTCCTAGGCAATCTCCTCAGTTGTAGCTTCAATCTCGAGGCAGAAGTCCATATTCTTCTCCTCATCTGTAGCGGCATGACCACTCCCCTTATGAGTGGATTCCCAAATTTTTTCCAAAAATCCCCAATCAATAATTGAGTGGGCACTCAATTCTGTGTTTACTACTACTACTGCTGAAGAAAATTGATCCCTTGTTCTCTGAGATCCGATTTTAGAGTGTTAAAATTGTCATTTTAGAGTTTGTCTACCATTTTGCCATCTTTGAGGAAGAAAATCGTATGAGTGGCTATGATTTCCCAAGCATTACTGAGGCCCTGTTCCAAACTAATCTCGCACACCCATCGTCACTAGGTTACACACCCGGTTACAGGTCAATTTCCGCTTTAGTTATGAAGTTTAGGGTGTTTATGTGGAGATTTCTAAATGATAGGGGGTAAGATGTCTTTTCGCGAAACCACAAGGGGGTTCCGTGTATTTTACCCTAAAATTTAATCTGTAGTGTTCAATAGCTACATAACAATCAACAACGAATTGTTGAAATAGTTTGGCACCTTTCAAAAGTGTATGGCCTTCATTTTGTCGAAATTGCATACAATACGCATAGAATTCGCGCATCGACACAAATTCTTTCTTTCTAACGGCAAAGGGTGAAAATCTTATTGCACAATGCCATCCGTCTGTTCCATATGGAAATAGTAAAGGGTATTGAAGTGGCATGTATGATGGATGTGTCTCACTGATTCTTTTCAAATTTTCATCTCAAGTGACAAGCACAATATTACGGTGTGTGACATGTCCAGTATCTTTACCGACAATCAAAGCAGCAACTTCATTTGCAGTTGGTTGGATATATTGTCTGTCACCTCGAGCACTAATTATCTATACTTGCAGATTGACAATATTTTGATTTCGAAGCATGTCTCTTGCACTTCGAAAAACTTGTACATATGGATTTATTTCATCTATCATATTTTGCAATCCTTCAACTATTGATGCATCAATCCCAATTGGATTGCCATCATGACTGTTTAGAAGATTCATATGATTCTGCAACTCATTATCGGTATCATGAATGTATAATTGTATGAATCTACCTAATTCTCCAAGAGGTGGCAAAGACTATCCGATTTGATGATAATTTTCTCCACTAATTCGAAATGAATACAGTCCGATAGAATTGACTACAAAATGATCTATTTTGCCTCCCGTGGATGTAAACCTGAATAGTGCATTCAGCAATCGAATCTTCTCTTTCAATGTTGGAGTCGTAAATATATGTTGTAAAACTTGGGGAGTTTGAGGCAATAACGGTAAAACAACATCCCCATCTTGACAACATAAATTGAATCTTGGATTTTGTTTTGTACTACTTTGAATTCTTTCTTCCACCCACATTAGAGATTGACATTTGTGACAGATTACTGTTCTTAGACCAAATGTCCATCTTCTTGTGATTCTACATCGTCGTCGCGTTCGGCCTATTTGGTCTAATTGATTGATGAAATAAGTATAATAAAGTACATACCTAAAACTAATAAAACTAAGTATGAAAGACATAATGTAAAGTTGTTGTATGAAAATAAAGCACATAATATTTGTATGCCTAAGAACATATAGCAAGAAATATTAATTATGGTAACATGAGAAAAGTATTAGTAGATTACTGATTTGTTCTGCTCCAGCTGTTTTAGTAGACACAATGTCTTGTGTAGCAGGAACAAATTCTTCGGATGAACCTGTATGTGTAATGGATTTTAAGAAGTCAAATGCAAAAAATAAATTGAAAGAAATTGAATTGCATAAATAATAATTGATTACTTAGTCAAGATACATGAGAAAACTTGGACATACCATCATCGAGACCATTAGATGATGACGTAGGTGTAATAGGAACTTCAGTAGTTGGTGAGTCATTATGCAATTCATCTACCATTATGTAATATAGAAAGTTAATATAATAATGTAGCGCGTTAAAAACATTAATGGTTAAGCATGAATTTGAAATTGTGGAAAAATTTGAAGTTACCATGATCATGGTGAATCGCAGCTGCAGTCGATGGATGTTGAAGTTGAAAAGATGTTGAGTAATCATTTGTTTGATCTAAAAGTATATTAAAATAATTGTATTAAAAGACGTATTAAATTAAGTTACAATTATTAATGTAATACTCATAAAAAATGTAATGATCTAATATACTGTATGAATATTATAAAGGACCATGAGTAGTCTGATGTAAAACCATAGTAAGATCTGATGAACATAGCAATACTTGTTAACACAAATTACTTTATGTGCAAAGATTAGAAATATTGAAAAGAAGTATTTTAGATTGAAAAAATAATTTTTTTTAATTAATGAATGATAATATGTGTATTTAATAGTCAGATTTGTGGAAATTTATCCTTAATTTGGTAATGTTTATGATAGTAGTTAGTAATGTTTTATGTTTGAGAAATTATTTAGTGGGTGAAATTGATGTACAATGTGAAGCTTGATTGAGAAAATTAAAAGTTTTGAGTCACTATATTTTTATGGTATGTAATTAAACATTTAGAATAGTAAAAAATATTTTTTATTATGTTAATTATTGATCCAAACAAATTGGCAATTTTGGTAGTAGAAGCGACGATATATTTATGTGAATCTATGATATTAGATAAGATTATAGTGATCCAAAGAAAGGTGATCTTTTATAACTTCAAGATAAGATTGCAGTGATTTGAAAAAAGATTAAAGTTTATAACCTATCGATTGCATCTTTAGTGTTCAATTTTAGCATGAATCATATAACCTCACGGTTGCAGCTTTACTATCCATACCCCCAAATACTGGTCACCTAGTACTTTCGCACATTACTATGTAGTAAATGACTTTCGAACCTATTCATTATGGTTGACTACTGCACATGCAATAATAGTTTTTAGTACTATTTGTTAACATGTAATATTTTAACAAAGCAATTGGGTAGCTTTTGGTAGTATTTATTAAAGTGCTTATAAGCAATTGGTACTCTTTCCACATTCTTATAAACAATAAAAACAATAATAATATTATAATATTCAAAATATTATTAATACTTAGAAGTACAATAAAAATGCCAATGTTTAAAGAATAAATAATACCAAAATTTGTAACTTGATTCTTATGAACAATGAAAACAACAATAATATTATAATTGTCGCGCCCCATTTTTTGCGATGCAAAAATAAAGATAAAAGGAGTTTATAAAAAGATGTGATTTATTAATAATAAATGAAAAAGGACCTAGAATGGGAGTTAAAAAAATGCGACAATTTGGGTCCAAAATTTAGTCCAAAAGGGTTTTTAAGGAAAATAGGAGTCGCCACTTGGTATGGAGTTTTGGTGTACCAAGTCACCCAAAAAATAAAGTAAAATAAAATAAAACCCTTTTGACAACTCCAGGTCTTTGAAAAAAAAATAGAGAAAATGGGTTCGGGGGTCACGATTGAAGAAAGGGAAGGCAAAGGTTTGATTAAATCAAACCTAAGGCACCCTTTCAACCTAGTCTAAGTTAGTTGCGAGGTTTAGTCAAAATTTTCCTAATCTAACCCTTAATTTTATCACATTTGGATGTTTCCTACATGGATGCAATCTAAATTTATAAAAATATCGAAAGGGACAAAATGTTCATTGAAGGGTTTAATTGAACCAATTGCATTAATTGCAAATGCCAAAATAATTCCTTGAAGGTGCCACGAGTATGCAAATGATGAAATTAAAAGAAAAGAAATTAAATTAAATTATATACATAGATATAAGTGATTGAAGAAAAAAATGAATGCAACATAAAAGGTACGGGAGGCAAAAACTCGTGACATGATTTTCTTTGTAGACACCAAATTTTGAATTAATGCTTTGTGTTTAGATGATTTGCGTTTTAGTTCATTATGTGTTTGTCTAGCCCTTTTAGGTTTTATTTTATTTTAGTTTTATTCCCTTTTTAGTTTTTAGTTGTTTTTGTAGTTTTTATTTTGTAAGTTTAGCGTAGAATTTTTAGAGAAAAAGAAAAAAAAGGAAAAGTGAAAAATGAAAAAAGGGGAAAAAGAAAATCATGAAAAAGAGGGAAAAAGGAAAATTGTTCACAAAAATACGTTCAAATTCAATCTTTTGGCATTTCGGTTTATTTTTGTTAATTTATTTTTGAAAAATGGAAATGATGAAAAATGGAAAAATGAAAGAAAAGGTCGAAAATGGTAATTTTGTTATTTTTAGTTTGTTTATTTTGATTAAAATTGTTGTTTTGTTATTATTTAGTTTTATTTAGTTTACTATTATTTTTGTTAAATCATTAATTTAAAAAAAAAAAAAAAAAAGAGAGAGAGAAGCCAAAAGCTGCATTTTTGCCGCAGCTTGCAAATGAAAGTTGCGGGAGGTCCTGGGGGAAATTTTTGGCTGAAGAGGCCAGGTGTCTAGGACACCTGGAGGGGGGATGAATCTAGAAGGAGGGGGGCTAGGTTTTTGAGCTAACAGAGAGAGAGTCGGTGGGCTAAGGAACCAGGGGAAGTGACGGCCGCAAAAAAAATCTAGAGGGAAAAAAGGAAGAAAACAGGCTGAGGAAAGGAGAGAGGTTACCGGAAGAGGCTAAGGGTTCAAAGGGGGCGGCTGAGAAGAAAAATCTGGAACGGCTAGGAGAGAAACGATAGAGAGGGTTTTGGAACAGCTAGAAAGAAAACAGCGGTAGAGAAGATAGGTTTTGGAACAAGGGCTGAGAGGTCTTTGACGGAAAAAGAAAGAACGGAAGAGTCTGGGCGGCGGAAGGAAGAAAAGACCAGAGGAATAGAAAAATCTGAAGAGCAACCAGAGAGTTTGATCCTGGGGCGGTGAGCTCCGCCTCTGGAGCCTTCTATCTGGCACCACCTCCACCTTCATCATCAGTCCACCGCTGTCCACTCTTGCAACTCGCATCTGCCGCCTCTGCTGTCCGTCATTTCAACTCCCGCCGCCACCTTAGCCATCAAAGCAGCCGGAGCTTCTACCGCTACCTTCACCAAGCCGTCTACCATCAGCGCTTCCAGAGTCTCTCGTCAGCTGTTTCTTCATCGGCTCCTCTTCCGTAGATGACTTGAGCAGCGACGGCAGCGGAGGTCTCTAATTCACCAAGCTGCCACCACCATCATCACCTGCGAATTGTCATCCCGAAAGCGCCGTAAGCTACCTTTCTTGTTCCCCCCCTTGAATTTCAGTTTTGCCTCAGGCACAAATGTTCAGAGTATGTTTATTTTTCTCTTTTCTGTTCTGGTTCCTTGCGCTAGAATGGTTATGAGTTCGGTTGGAATAAATGTTGATGTTTTCTTTGCTGCATTTTTTTTGTTTTCCTTGATGCTAAAACTGATGTTTGGAGGCACGTGGGCTAGGTGGATAAAACAAATAAGTTTTGTACAAAGTTTTGGCTTCTCCCTTGTGCGAGTTGAGCTGCAAAGTTGCAGCAGAAAATTGCAGCAGGAAAATGCAGTGTCTTGCGTTTTTTTTCTGTTTCTTCCCTATGACTGCAGTTGGTTATTGGATGTTAAGGTGTTGTATTTGGATTAAAGCTGTGTTTTTTGCACTGAAATCTGGTTTGCTTGACATGGAATGCAGCTGTTTCTGGCGCATTTCATAACAAAAATACAATGGCAGCAAACTTCATTTTTGTTCATGGTGTGTTTTAGATTTGTTGGAAGGAATCGATTCCCTGGTTGCTGAAATGTTTGATGTTTAAATGATAGTTAGCTCACTTGTATATTATATGAATCTGCTTTGCTGAAATGGTGGAGTCTTTGTGCATAGAGATGTGCATCAGATGTTCATGTAGGAACCCAGCAAATAGAATTACCGAAATCTGCTATGTTGCATGCATGAAATGTTTTCTGAAATTGGACTTTAGCCCCCTAAGTCTCCCCGTGTTCCACTAAAACCCGATAAATTGAATAACTTCATCAATTGGGTCCTTGGTAGTTTTAACTTTTGCAACTTCATTGTTTGTGTGATTCAATTAGTCGCCTTGCTTCATTTAATTTGCTATTAATGCATGAACTTAAGAGCTTTGCGTCCAAGTGAGATTATGTTTGCCTATTTTCTTTAATTTCTCTTCAAATAAATTGGTACCTTGACCATTTCTTTTATTTTGGAGGATAAATAAGTGATTTCACTCCATGTAGAGCATCAATTCAAGGTGGCGGTATAATTTCTTTTATCCCTCTTTGTGTCTTTCCTATGTGACCCAACGTGCTAAGTGCATTACATGTCTACTTTGCTTTCCTAGCTTTTCTTTAATTCCTTTTACTTATGTCATTTACTTTTTGTTTTCATTAAGTTATTCTTTTAATGGGGTATGTGTACACCCCTTGGCTTGTAATAGATAGGGCTGTGGCGAGCAATTTGGTCCATTTTCCCTTTCCCCTTTTGTTTTAGTTAGTGAATGTAATAGGTTCATTAGCTTGATTGCATGCCTACGTGTTAAGTGTTAATTTGCTTTGTTAGGGCCTTGCATCTAGTCGAGTATGCTAAATGTTATGTGCTATGTGTTTATGAGTATTTGGCATGTCTACTCGCTTCCCATAGCCATGAATGAATGTGATGGATGAATGTACGTTTCCGCTAGTCCAACGCTAGTCGGAATTCATAGAATGGGCTAGTCCAACGCTAGACCCTTAGGAATTTTCCCTCGTTAGCATATCATTTGCTTGTTCACCACATATCACGCATTTTTCCTTAGTTTTATCATTTGGCATGATCCTCGAACCCCTTTTCCTCTCATTTTAGGTTTTGCATCCCATACTAGCTATAGGGTTCATTTTGCTTGAGTGTCCCCTTAAATATGGGATATAGACGAGTGTGGCTTTTTCTAAGCCTTAGCACGCTTGTATTCCCTCTACAAAAGGGTAAATTGAGTCACGATTTAGGTCTCCCCGTACCCAATATGCGTGCATTCCCTAGGCTCATGCATTCTAAATCCACTCTATCATTACACTTTCATTTTATCCCTCCATTTGCACACGTACACCTTTTATCCCTTCATTTGCACACGTACACCTTTTATCCCTTCACTTACACACGAACACTTTTATCATCACTTGCACACATGTACTTCATATTATCAT